TAATATTATATCAAATTTTAAAAAAAGCAGTTGACAGACTAAAATCTCTAGATGGTGTGTGACTGTTCCATATCACAAATGTGGAAGCACAGAGATTCACATTTATGCACATTACTTGAACATGGTATCAATATCAAGCTCACTGTATTACATACACAGTTACAATGCAGCTCTAGCCAGGACAAGCTCACACAATGAAATGAACTTTGGCCAACTAAAGGGAAGATTTCAGTGTCTGAAAAGTCTGAGGGTTGCACTTGACAGGGCCTGTGACATTACATGTGCCATATTACACAACATTGCACCATCAGCAAAAATATAAAACATGTCATTAAATGTTTAATAAAAGACAAGACAAATATGATTAGTTCTTTGATTTTTTATTTAAATTGTTCTTTGTAAAGAAAAGCCAGTGATCAAGTCATATTTTGCCTGCAATAAGAGATACATGCAAGGTCAGCAATAGTACTCTGTGTGAAATAATATATTAGCACTTACTCTGAAGTTCCTTTGAAGCAACTCTATCTCTAACTCTGTAGTGCCAGGTTTTTTCTTTAAGTTGTCAAGTTTTCCCCCCCAAAATACTCTATTTTCTAGGGGCAGGGGGGCTTGGGTTAAACCTGTCAACACAAGCCTTATGCAACAAAAAATAAAAGGAGAAGTATACACTGCCCACCTCTGTGTAATTGCTTTGTGCAGACTCTTCTGTAGGCCTTTCTGTAGATGTGGACTCCTGCAACACATATTGCATTCAGAAATAATAGGTACTCAAGTGTAAATTAAGTAAAGTTATTTAAAGATACTTTCTCCAAAAGACAGTCATCTGAGAGAGTTTCTTCACTGTCCTGTGCATTGGGGGGGGGGGGGGGGGGGGGTAGTAATTAATAGTAACTTGCCTGCTAGTTACTACTCCAAACAATTTATGAATAATTAATGAACTGTGTGTGTGACAGTTGTCTCTCAAATTCAGTAAATTCAGACAGGCGGGGGGGGGGGGGGGGGGGGGGGGGGGTAAGTAAAGTAAAGTTTGGAAAAGTCCACTTACTGGACATGCTTCAGCCACTTGCTTGGGAACAGATAAAAGTGTTGATGTTTAAAACGGCACAAAAGAGGAAAACACAATTTCATTACAATGAATTACACTGGGGGGAAATGTGATCAATCTCAGACTTTTCAGACACTTTAGTTGGCTAAAGTTCACTTCATTGTGTGCCCTTGTCCTGCTAGAGCTGCATTGCAACTGGTCTGGGGTTTGGGTCAGGGAATGGGGTCATAAAACACCTGTCTCCAAGCAGGATCCTGTTGTAATCACCTGATGCTTGATCCTCTGTTCCTTGTGAAAGGATCTTTCCCAAGGCTGGAGAGGTTTTGTCTAAAAAGAGGAATCGTCTAAACCCCAACACACTTGAAACGTTTTTTGTTTCTCAATAAAAATCTATTGTAATCCTTTCTTCTCCCACCCCAAACTGCAGTGTTGCAGTTTGCTCCTCTATATCCCCAGTCCCATAAGCACAACACTGCACTCAAACTAGTAACAGTTCACTGCACAAACCCCCCAGAAACAATTCTTAACTTTTCCCACCCCAGACTATTCTGTGCAGTTTACTTTATTAAACTCCCTCCAAGCACTGCACTCAACACAGTGTCATAATGTCACTATCCAAACAATTTATGAATAATTAATGAACTGTGTGTGTGACAGTTGTCTCTCAAATTCAGTAAATTCAGACAGAGAAAGATACATATTTTATTTTATACCCAGGCAATGGACAAATGTCTGCTCTGGTCTTTTTATTATTGCAAATGAAAGGTTACAGACATTCAAAATGAGAAGAAAATAAATAAATAAAACAGAACGGGGGTGGGGGTGGGGACATCATAAGTCTGCTCAGGTCATTGGTTCAGAATTAATTAATTTGTCTGTTACTTCTTTGTACAGTAGCTAGGTGTCACTAGTGAGCAATGCTGAATGAAGCTTCGAGTAATGAACCTTTGGGTGAAGCACTGGGCTGCGAGCAAGGGGGTAATCCATCAGCCGGAAGTTGAAGCCTCGCGGGAGCCGCCATTGTAGCTGGCTATCACCTGCTGTTAGCATCCCATTGACTCCCATTCATTTTGGCGTCACTTTGACAGCGGATAACTTTACATCTGAGGCGTCCAAAGACTTCATTTGTCCATTATTAATTTCTAAAGAAACACGACAATGTATAAAATGTTCCATTACTTTGTATCTTACGTTATAGCCCCGTAGAAGCCGTTTTTTTTAAAAATAGGCTAACGATTGCGTCATAACCACAGGACTTTCTGTCGCATAATAGAGACATTACCGTATAGACAGGAGGAGAAGCTCGCAGGCAATCTTTAACTGTCTATGAGGCAATCGGGAGGACATGGAGGCACAAAGTCAAGGTAGAAGCCCATAAATAGAGAGTCTATAAAAGCAATGGGACAAAATATTTCAACAACGTTTTTGAGGAATTAGGTGATTCAGATTTATCTTGGCACAGCTACTAGAAGATTTTCAACTGCCAGACTGTCGTCACGCTCAGTTTGAGCCTGCGCAGTCGCTCAGACATCAGACAGGAAGTGCAATAATCGGGCTTGAAGTCTTCTCCGTTGAAATCAATGACTACGTTTACATGCAGCCAATAACCCCTTCCAAAATCCGGGATATTAGCAATAACCTGGTCGCGAACGGCCATGTAAACACCGGCAAAAACCCGAATATGCTCATATCCCGGATTTTAAAAACCGGGATATTATACCTGGGGTACCCCTTTTCTAACCCGAATTTTTGGTCATGTAAACGCGCATCGGCATATCCCCATAGTGATGTGTGTTCTGCGCATGTTCTATTCGCAAGGAATCTTGGTCTTTTGAGTAGAGAAACTTCTCAGCGCATACAAAACCCCGCGTGCAGTGTACCGGAAGTAAACATGGCGAGACGCAGCACAGCATACTTTTGGAGCGAGGTCAGTAACGTTACCAGCACCAAAGCGCAAACAAAGGCGATCGCTATCTGCCCCGAACTATTCATTATCCGCGTGCTGCTGTTGTTGTTGTCTTTGGATACAGGAAGAAGAATCGGAAATGACGCATATTGCGTCTTAAAGCTGCCGTCGGCAACATTTTTTTGAGCATATTCAGAGAAATCGACACTATAATCTGACAGAACAACATAAATAAAGTGGTTTTAGAAAAAACCCCGAGCTTCTAACTCCACCTGGAGCTTGTTATTTGTTTTGCAAAAATCCACAGCTCCCGGTTCATCATGTCCAATCAGCGCAGGGGGGTGTGAGATCTGACTGTCAATCACAGATCGGGCACACGCCACCCCTCGCGCACGTTACAATCACATGCACACGCCTGAAGTTCGCGCAGTAACGAAGAGTGATGGCGGAAAATCAAGTAAGCTCATTTAGAGTATAAATGACGTTAGCAAATGCAATCTATCGGTACATTAGCCAGGACAGCATACCTCCAAATACTCCATGGTGTTGATGGATGCTGATGAGACGGGCGCGTTCCAGGGCTCTCAAGTTTTGAAGACAGGTAAGAGTGACACCCAGCCGACGGGGGGTTGGATACATTTTTGTCATTGGTTGTTGCGTTAAATCTTACCCAGATACAATAGTGCTATTTTCTGATTGGCTATTGTGTAGCTCGACGAACAACACCAGAGGAAACCAACGCGCTTGATTCATGCCGGTTCCACAGTGAGAGCGGCGCGGCCAGAGTTTTGGCCGCTGCGGCATATTAAATATATTACAAATAGTTTTTCAGCGTGAGAAATACAATGTGTGGCGGGAGAGCGTGACAAAAGACCGAAATGAGTGACTGTCACGCTCAATGAGTGACACTTGAGAGCCCTGGCGTTCACTGAAAATCTGGTGCACACGCACTGACCAGAGCTGGCACTGACGAGCATGAACCGGGTGGGAGGGTATCCGTTGATAGTGGGGGAGGGGCATGAGAGTTGTAAACATTCAAAATTTTCCTAAATCCACTCAATCTGCCAGACTTGCCGACTGGAGCTTTAAGGTTGTCCGTACGTCCAGACGCTAACCGTGCGTCGCGTTTACATCGGGAAATTGCAATTCCATGTATACAGGAGTAACTCTCTCTGCTCACGCATGTAAACGGGTTATCCCTAATGTTTCAGAAACCCGAATAGTGACCTTAACCCGACCATAACCCGAAATTTGGCTGCATGTAAACGTAGTCAGTGGGGTCGCTCTGTCCATTTCTTTTACTGTCTATGGCTGCGAGGTCTCAGTGGTTCAGGAAGCCTCATTTTGCCATCACTAGGGAAAACCAGGACACGGGCAGAGATCAAGAACCAGGAACAAAGACAACAAAGGAAACCCTCAGAAATGCAGTGGAATAACGTACAAAACTTTGCAGTGAGTGAATGAGTGAACATGGTATAAATAGGCTGAGACTAACAGGGTAATGAGACACAGGTGAATGCAATCAGTGATGATGAGTCCGGGCAGTGAGTTATGGGTTGTGATGGAGTGATAAAAGTCTGGTGTGGAGTGCCCTCTGGTGGCTCTCAAGGGCACTCCAGCTGGTGACCGTTACAGAATTCTTTGTTTCATAGTGTTACTAATACAGCAACCCAGTCTCATGAGAATTCATAATCATTTGTATGAGATCATGAGATCATACAAATTCAAACCTACAACTTGGACCATGGTTGTAATGGGGGGATAAGTTTTGTTTTATAAAACTATAAAAGTTTTAATTCAATCTTATTCGTACCTTATAATATCATACGGTTTTAGCATAGTACAAATTATCGTAATTTGTCATGAGAGTGTGTTGGCTTTATGTGACAAATAGGTTTGCTGATGTTACTGCAATTATCTGGCAATTTTTCTGTCATGTTTAACTAACATGTTTAGGTTTTGAAAAAAAAGTGTGTACAATGTGGTCAGAGCAAACTTGACTTCCTCTGTCTGGCTCAGAGCTGCAGTAGACTTCATCTTACATGTGTGGAGGGAACCAGGTTTCATTAGATTCAATGGTTTTATTCAACCAGTAACATGAGGATCATTCAGCTTCAGCTCTGTGAGTTTATAACATATGAAAATATTTACACGAGATTAACCATAAATTGTTTCTTGTTAAAGGTTCACAGTGCTTTTATGTGGCTAATTAAAAATGAATTTTAATGCATGTTTATATATATTTTTTTATCTTATAGATGTGTTAATCTGTTGTCGAGCTGCAGTCTCAGATCAACTCACTGATGTGGGATCAAATGTGACCATAAACTGTGATCTTGATGAAAAGGAGGTTTACTGGATTTTACTGAAAACACCAGATCCTCCAACAGTGATTCTACGATCAACCTCAAATCCAACATCACCTTTATACTTAAATAAAACATTCAGACAGAAATATTCACTGCAATTTAAACACTGTCTGGTTATTAATAATGTAACCGCTGATGAATTAGGAGTTTATTACTGTATGAACACAGACACACCTCCAAAACTCAGCAACAGCACCAGACTGCACTTCACCGGTGAGTTTTTTCACTGGTGAAAATTACTATAAATATTTTCTCTTACTTTTTTATACATTTATAATTAACCTCTTCAGTTTTTGGAGCACCTATAAAAACAGAAGCACTTAATGGTAGCTCCACAAAAAGTTGAATATGTTAGATACTATTTACCTACACAATTTCAGTCATTGTGTGCAGACTATCAGTTGTTGTTACTGTAACAGATTATAAACACTTTCTTTACAGAATCAACTCAAATAACTGAGTGTCACAATCATACAGCGGTGGATCAGAATCAGATTGATCAGAATCAGACACAATGTCAGATTATTATGATCATATCTGGACTGATGAACGGGCTTCTAATCATTGTGCTGATCGGTGAGTCATCAATGCTCTTCTCCATAGACAGCTAAAGTTATAGTGTAAATTCTGTATTTAGGGTTTTGACTTATTTTGGCATTTTAGTTGACATATATATATATGTTTAGAAATAATAATACAACCTTTAGCTAATATTGAATCTGAATTCACTGTTCCATTTTTAGGACTGGTAAAGGTTTTTGTTGTGGGAAACAGAAGGTCTGCAGAAGAATCACAACTCAACACTGATCTACAGCAGACGCGAGTTACAGAAGAGCATCAGGACCAGTTACAGGTAGGAGTTCATTAATGAAGATCTTGATATTAATATAGGATTCATTCTGACCTTTTACTCCAACCACATCCTATCATTTGTTTGATAAAACAATAACTTTGATCCATGGACAGCTACAGTTTATATTGTTTTCTTCATTGCTCTTTCAGTATGCTGAGGTGGATTTTTCCAAGCTGCGTAGAAACTTTCGGTCCAGTCAAGTCAACAGCACTTATGCTACAATAAAGCCGGCGAAATCATGAACGTTTGAGTATGATGGACTACTTATTTTGTTCACTGTTTCTCGAATCTCTAACCACAAACTGTTTGGCAGATCTTATAATAGATATCACCCACATTTACCACGATAACATTCTTTAGATCAGGGGGTTTGAAATGCAAAGGCTGCCAAAAAAAAAAACCACTGGAAAGTTTAGAGAGAAAATGTCAAAAGAAAATGATAAAATTGACACAATTTTATGTGCATCAATTATTTTGTATAAAAAAAGCAAACAGCATCAGTTAAATGACCAAAGGCTTAACTCCTTGGGTTAATAAAAAAAATGTGCTAGCATAAAATAATAGTATAAATATTTTCTGTATGGAAAAGCATTGTCTTTGTATTTTATATATGAATATGACTGTCTTTAATACATTCCATTTTTAGACATAATTAAATTCTCAGTTAGTTTTACAATTGTTTTGAATATATAAATAGTATATTAATAGTATAAAATTACAGTATATAAAATGTGAAAATTTGCCCAGACGTTTATGAAAACATCTTTATGCTGACAACACAATTCAGTTAAAACCGGTCTTCTCATAAAGTTGTTGCTTTATAATAAATAAATAAATAAACATATTTTTTTATGTATAAGCTTTTGTGCATTTTACATGTCAGAAAATAATGAATAGCCTGAAAAATCTGCAATACTTAAAGTTGTTTAGCCGGGTCTCTCTGGTAATGATATTATAATTCCTCATGGAAACAGCATTTTATTCAATAATAAGTCAATCAAATTTCAACATGACATTAAAAAATGTCACTATTGATAAATTAGGACGATGATCGTATGAACACAGACACACTTAAAACATCATTGTCAGATTCATTAGTAAAATTAATAATACATAAAGTAAATAATAATAATAATAAATAAAAAAAGCAAAGTCTAAAGTTCTTCGGAAATGTTACACCTCAAATTTGTATCACTTCTGTTGTAATGTTATTGATGTCATATTTGTATATTAGATGTATTTATTCTATGTACATACATACGCACAATGCAACTTGTCCATTTACTAAACAACTGACTTCATTTTCAACTGAACTCAACTGAAGTTCAAAACCAAAACCAGACGTTTGTTCCACTGCTTTGGTCACTAGACAACCAATAACAAACAGTCTCTCACCTATGTCTAGAGTGGAGGTTTAGCCTAACCTTAAACCCAGTGCAGTGTTTTTTTCCAGTACCATTAATGTATCTCAGTTCTCACAGTTGTCTGAACCTCAAATGGAAAAAACACCATTATGTGTTATTTGTTTGTTTACTATGTCTACACAGTGAACATTTAGTGTTTTTGCCAAGTGTGTTAATGTATGTAAATCACCTTCACGCCTGAAAAACTAAAGTGTATGTTGCTATGAACATCCAAAAGTTAATAGACTGCATCTGTGAAATCAGTTTCAAAATCTAGGGTCATTCTCAGAGGTTTCTGAGAATGAAAAAAAAAAAGTTGAAACTATGGGCAACAGCAAATGCATACTAGTGTAAATAAGCAGAGTCATGCATGAAACGTCCCAGTGCTGTTGGACTAATGTGCTTTCATGTGCTTTATCGAGTTTACTAGTTAAAAATTGGACATAAACGCCCTCTCGAGTCATATTTACCACTGGGAAGCTCGAGGATAATTACGATACTCGAGTTCCCGAGTTGGGCGTGCAGTGCAATAAACTTTAAACATGCCGGAAGGGAGAACGATTGCTGTCGTGACTGCTGTTCTTCATTGGTTTTTTTCAACAACAGCTACATCACCTTGTGTTGTCGTTAAAGTAGTGCATATTTACAGGCGTATATGAATAAACATTTGAAGCGGATTTTTTACACAACGAAAATGTTGTATTTGACCAAAATTCCGTCTGCAATCGTCTGCAAGCTGATGATCTATAGCTCAGTGAATGTTTATATGGTTGTCAATGAATGGGACGCTAAACCACCTTAACGCTGGTTGCCACCTGTCATAAAACACAAGCAGCTACTGCCACATAAAAGCATATCGTTAGATATGACAGACATGACACTCTACCCGCACTCCAAGAATTAGCTTGCCAGTGTGGACTTTTTTTTTTTTTTTTTTGATTCCCCGAAAATAGGACATGCCGATCAACAGTGAGCGCAAACAGCAACCTTTACCGCAGACTCCGTTATCTTGTACAGAGAGAAAGTTGCCATTATTTTGCTAGTCCTGAAATGGGAAACATTAAATTAACCTGTCTTAATGTTTACTTAAAATATTCAGAGAGCAGTATTTTTTTTTTTTTTTTTTTTTTTTTACCCAAAATAGGTCAATGTTAGCATTATGGAACGGTAAACTCTCTCAACGAAATTTATGTTTCATTCATATTCTACGCCCGGAGAAAGTTTCATGCAGAAAGTTTACAATGAGTCTCATAGGAGTAATAAAACTCATGACATTCCAGGAAATCCCTAATATGGGCAAAGACATCGAGCTATCACTGTAACTGAATAAAATGCAGATAGAGACATTTCGACTGATTAAACCTGAAGTTATAATGCAGTTATAAAATAATATGATTTTTGCCCTTATTCCGTGATAAGAAAAGCCACATCAGTTCACAGAAGGAAGTTATTTTAAACTGGTTGCCATAAGTGTAATTTATAGCCTGGCAAGCCAGACCTACATCAAGATGTTAGGTCTGGGAACTCCCAATTGGCATACCTCAATCCGAGGGGCGGGATAAACGGTTGTCTTTCAAATTCCCTCTGCATGCAATAGGACAGCGCTACAACCAACCAGAGCAACGGACGGCTGTGGCTGAGTGAGTCCCATGCGTTTTTCCATCAGCGGAGCTGGTTGATATATTAAACTGTTGCCGTATCCGGTCGTCAAAACTCCGAACACATCCTTATTTTTTAAGAATGACTTAAGTGACGTTCTCTTAACTCCAAGTCATCCAGAGTCGCGGCCAAAGCCGATTCGAAAGACCGCTGTTCGCCAGCAGCATCTTCTTTGTTTTCAAGTAGCAAAGAATTCAAATCACATATGGAAATCACGCGGGGGAACCGTCACAACTCTGCCGTCATTATGTTAAGCCCGCCCACCAACTCTATACACGATGTGATTGGCCTGACCAGAGTTTGGTTTTTCCAGCTCGAATGCCAACGGAGAGTTGCTAGACCACACTTTGCTGCAAAATACTTTTTGCTGCCGCTAGGGTGCGTCTAGATTTCTAGGCTATGTAATTTAGTCTTGTAATTTAGTCTTGAAATTGTGTGATTCTTGGAAATAAATAAATACATACATCAATTTAAGATGAATTTGACTGATTGCATTTATTTCTCTCTCAACATTTCTATAGATATCGCGATATATCTTTTGGCCATGATAATCATAACCCATTATAATCTTCTCTTAGGTAGGGTTGGCAAGTTTTTTCCTAAACACTTTTTGTTATTCTGGTTGAAATGATCTCCTAAGGTAATCAATAATAAAAGTGGTCTAAATATTAAAACATGTAGGCTACATATACGTACATGCACGTAAAAACAATTTTTCGTGTATAAATTGCACAATAAATTCAATGCGTGCTATAGAGACGCATTTTATGAGATCGGGTTGGTATTTCCATATCTCCGCGCACCTGCTCATACAAACACACATCATCAGTGCACTCTTTAAGGCTATTCAGAGTTGTAGACAAAGAGTCACCAAGTGTTGCAAACAAACATCAGCCTCCTTTTACAGCTCCAGCAGTCAGGTGGTACAAATAAGAGCTCTGTAAGTTGTTTACACTCATTATTAATGTAATGATATGTGCTTTGAGACATGAGGTATTTTAACGCAGTCTCTCGCGATGCTTTGCTGAATCTGCTCTGGCTGTGTGTGCGTTCATGTGTTTTGGAGGAGTCGTGGCTTTAGAGACGCTCTGAAGGGAGTAGGGGGGCTCATGCTTTCAAAGCTAGCTCGCTATTACTAGCCGCTCTGAAATAGCCTAGCCTACCTTTAACATCTCATTGTTGAGTGAAAAAAACGACCCCAAGTGGCTCCTGGTTCACTTTACAATGTCAGTTTATTATCTGTATCTATCTATACAAATCAGTTGACATTTAATAACATTCAGTGTCATATACCTGTATATTCTGAAGTCTTCCTTCTCATGTTATTGGCTGTGGAACAGAGAAGCTGCACAGCCTGACAAGACCTGCTTCCATTAAGGCTTTGAACAGAATGAAAGAGCAATGCTAGGACATACATTAGACAAATTAATTTATATGACTCACATTCCAGTCATTATTGTCTGAAGTTGCTGTTTTCATATTGAGCTCCTTTGTGTGCAGCTGTAAATGCATACAGGATCTGTGAATTTAGTTTGTATAGGCCTATACCAGTCAATCTTCTTCTAATTA